TGATGGATCTTCTCCTTTTAAATGTCTTGTGACCTGAATCTAAGAAAGGAGTGAGATTATTAGCTAAACTAGTTTAACTCACTTAACCTTATTTCTACAATTTCCATTTTACAGCATGTTCATTACAATGGCTCAAAGAGAAAAAAAATGTTTATAGATGTCTTTTGTTATTGACAATTCAACCTATAAGATTTCATGAGAATATTTTACAAATGAAAGAACACTCAATGAAGGAAGAATCAAATGTTTGGGTTCTCCCATCCATTTTTGGGACATCACTGGTCTGTTGACTTAAGTTTTGGTAGTAAATTTTTAAAGGAGAAAGAAAGGCTCCCTTATTGACTGTAACAACTTAAAGCAAAAGGTGTTGCATATGAACACACATAATTTTCCCATTTTAAAGATGAGACTAGGCACACAGAAAAGTTTGAATTAGACCATAATTAATAATGAGAAAAAGAAAGTGAGAGGAGAAGATGGGGAGAGGAAGGGGAAGTAGGAAGAAGAGAAGGACAAGCTGAAGAGGAAGAGGAAGGAGGAGAGGAGTTTTCTCTTTTAAGATGTTCTCTAGAAACAAAGAATGCTTTATTACCTGATGTCCCACTCTACTACTGAGAACAGAGACAGGAAGCTAATGTCCTTCAATTTTTTCTTTCCTTTGCTACTACAAGGACTTTCATGTTTCTTTTCAGTTCCTGACTTTCAAAAGTATGTTAAAGGTAGCATGGATGGACGCAAACATGAGTGACACTTGCCCCCGCAAACAAAGTTTATAATCTAATAGAGAATGAGACTCGTCATGGTGGGGATAAAAGCAAGCATATTAACCAACAAAATGTCATAAGGAAGGAACAAAGTATCAAAGGCATTCAGAGGAAAGTCAGTCACATCTACCCAGTAGGAGGGAGGGGAGTGATCTTGGAGGTATTTGCATTTGATTTGTATTTTGAATGAACAAGATTTCAACAGATAGAACATCCAGCATAGTGTCTTGCATATAGTAAGTACTCAACATATCACTATTGGACAACAATTGAAAATGAGGAGGGATTTTAGTAGAAAAAGACAGCATGAACAGAACAGGCAGAAGTAGGAAAGGTCAACAGTAAGTTATACTTTTATGATACCACAGTGTAAAAATGTTTTTGGTGTTATCTGTGTCTAATTTTTAACATGAAAGTTAACAGATCTGCACAAGATCTGATACCTAAAAAGATGGCTCTTTAAGGTTCCACTTCCAAAAAGGGCTGATGCCCTGCAACATAGAAACATGTAACAGCTGCAAACTCTGGCCAAACCAAACAACCCTACTTGAAGGCACTAAAGAATGACTAAAACAGGGTAGAACTGGAGGTATAAGTTTGACACCTGGAGGAAGGGAATGGCATAGCACTGGGTGAATTTTACATTCTTAGAGCTTTTAGCCTGAAGGCAGGCCCCAGCATAGTTGGGGTGACTAAAATTTAGAGAGAAACTTGTACTCTTACTGGCTTGAAGAACTAGGGAACCGAGACAGAGGTACCCACAGCAGCTGGAAAGTGAGGGGATCCCAGAAAGGAGAAAACCTGATAGTGGGAACCCCAAATATTGTGTGTACATTCTGCCCAAATGCCTCGCTCATACTGAAGCTTGCATTTGTGGGGCACATTCAAAATAGCCTGCAATTAAGGTTAACAGAACTAAGATTTGAGGAGCCATAATGAGCAGGTAGTGTCCACTCATGGTGTATTTTACAAACGAAAGAACACTCAATGAAGGAAGAATCAAATGTTTGGGTTCTCCCATCCATTTTTAGGACATCATTGGTCTGTTGACTAAGTTTTGGTAGTAAATTTTCAAAGGAGAAAGGCAGGCTCCCTTATTGACCATAACAACTTAAAGCAAAAGATGTTGAATACCAACACACATAATTACACTCATGGTGTAACTCCATTATCTCCAGTAGAGTGCATGGGAATTAGTCATTAACTCTGTGTGGCACTGTTCTTTACGACACCCAGCCAAGCTGCCCAGAGATGATGTTTAGCTCCCAACCTTCC